ATATATTTATATATATATATATATATATGTTTATATGTATATATATACATGTAAGTATTGATGTGCTTTGTAGTTCGAACATCAGTAGACATCACGCCTCAAGTTTCAGCCCTATGCGCCTATCCGTGTTGCCTGGGGTGTCCTCTGTTGAGATGAGGGGTCTGTTGGGTGTTATTATAGGGTTTAGGGTTTCCTGAGTGCTATTCTTCGCACACGCTCAATCTCTTCATCGCCAATCGGACCGATAGGCTGTGGTACTTATGTTATAGCGATCACACAGCTGTGCATGACAACGCAGGTAGTGGGAAGAATTGCAAATACTTACAAACTTACTTACATATAAACATACTTACATATGTGTGTATAATTGAATTACAAATTGTATATATACCTGTCAACTGAAGAAGTGCAGGTTGTGGCATGGCACAATAAATACCTGCATACATATCTGCATACACTTGAATATATATATATATATCTATATATCTATATATCTATATATATATATATATATATATATATATATATAATAGTAGTATATATATATCATATATATATATATATATATATATATATATATATATGTGTCCGTGGGGATCGTTAACCGGAACCCGTCAAAGGTTTCCTATATTCTAATCGAATCATACAATTTCTGAGACCCCTTCCCCACACACACCCTATCTTGTCTACATATGCACACACCTGCACAGGCGGCTATAGCGCTGGGCGGCGAGAACTCCAAAAAAGGAGTTGGTAGGTACGAGGCGGTGCAAGGCGACCAGGCCCGCGAAGGCGAGCTGTTTGGACTGGCCAATATGTTGGACCACACCTTACTGGTGGACCTCAACAAGACCATCATGGAACGGTGCGCCCGAGTAGACTCCGAAAAGGGACTGGACGAGGACGGCTACGAGGTGTATGAGGAGTTGAAGCCGGTTGATGGCGGGTGAGTGGGAGTGGGAGTTTGGAGTTGGGGTTGTATAGTGTTGGATATGCAGCGGAGTGTATGGGTCCCGATTTACGGCAAATGATAGATGAGTGTATCATAACGAAGTGTTTATGTATGTATAGTAGTGTACATTGACGTACGTGTTTGTATACATTTGGGCTAGATAGACGGAGCTGACTACGATGTCTATGGAATGCTGAAAACGGTTTAGGATGGGCAGGTAAAGCCACTAGACTGCGTTTAGGCGTGGTAAACTTATTCATTGTGCTCGCAGGGATGACAAATCGTACAGCAACGAAGAGGAGATTGAGGATTTCGATGAAGATGACGAGGTGGACAGCCTATCAGATCCCAAGGTATCTATCTAGCCACACAGCAATTTGGGAATATATATATAATTTAGTACATAATTTCATACATTTACCACTGTCTCAAATAGAGTCAAGTATATGAGATTGCTAACGAAGAGTCGTTTATACCATGGCTCCCTAATAGTTGTTGTCTGTTCAGCGATTGTTCATGGGATATTGCTTGTCATGTCTGTCTTGTACGTCATTAAAACGTAGTTGGTCGCAAGAGGGCCATGAGTTTGTTCCTCATTTGAGTGTCGTTGCCCATATTTAATTTAACTTTCGCCTATGTCTCGTCCGGATTGACCATGGCCAACGTGTGATTGGTCTCATCAGTGGCGTCCATTCGCTTGATTTGGCGCCGTTTCTGGTATTTGATTTGGATATCGGGACTAACATTTGTTCTGTTTGCAAATATATGTACGAAAGTTGTGTACGTGATCAAAGTGCACTTCGTTCCCAGAGCGACCTGGGACCACTTCTGATTTGCTTTATTTGTTTAATCTTTCAATGTACTCGTTTGTGTCGTGTCTGGACCACTTCTGCTTTGCCTTATATGTATAACATTTCGATGTAATCGTTGTGTCATGTCTGGACAGTAAAAACGTGACGTGTGATTGGGTTCGTTGTGCGTATCGCGGGCTCGCTTTCAACGTTGGGTCGTTCTGGATACTCAGTTGAGATATCATTTATAGTTTGTATCGTGTTTGTGCCGTGCTCAACCCGATTTTGATTGATCTTAATATTGGCATTCGTTTGCTGGAAGACTTTGAGTCGTATGTTAGCATGATTTTAAGACTTATGAGTCGTATGTTAGCATGCTTTTAAGACTTATGAGTCGTATATTACTTTGTACTTCAGACTATGAGTCGTATATGACTATGTTCTTAAGACTATGAGTTGTATATGACTATGTTCTTCAGACTATGAGTTGTATATCACTATGTCTTTAAGCCTATCAGTCATATACTACTATGTTCTTAATACTATAAGTCGTATATTACCTTGTTCTTAAGGAAATAAATCGTATATTACTATGTTCATGAAGACTATGAGTCGTCTCTATGAGTTGTTCATTACTCTAACTTTCGCACCCAACTATTGCTTGGTAACGTGCTCGCTCTTGAGTAGTCCACTTGTTATTAATCCCATGCGCAATTGTATGTAGGTACAAGAACTCCCCGATGGCTACGAGGTAGACACAGCCATAGTGGATTTGCAAACAGGAAAGCTCTCCGAAGCACAGAAGCACGACGCTGAGCTAGCAGAGTTGCTATTGGACGAGAACGCCGTGGAATACACAGGGGTACCCAGGGCAAAGCGACACAAAAGCGGTGAGTAATCGGACTACAACTGGGCAGGGTTCTGGAGGTTTTGGGGTTGGGGATGCAGGGTCTTAGGTTTACTCGGTGTGTCCAGACGATGGGAGACAACAGAGGAAGTGGCATATGTTTTTTATATGGCTTTCCTTGTCCACAAGGAATGAAATTTTTCATATCTAAGTGCAACATCAGGGTGTCATTTATAGGCTAAGTCGTACTATGGCTTGGTCGTACTATCTACAGGCTTGGTCGTACTATCTATAGGCTTAGTCGTACTATCTATAGGCTTGGTCGTACTATCTATAGGCTTGGTCGTACTATATTTAGGCTTGGTCGTACTACCTATAGGCTTAGCAATCACGCACAGAGTGGAGCGCTACTCAAAGAACCTAAATGCAGGGTATCATCAACCTGTTATTCCAATTTCACCGCAATCTATGAGATACTTCGCCTGTTTCTGAAGGCTGTTTGAATCTGGTCTGTATCCTTTCAGAAGATGACAACGGAATGGGAAGATTCTACAACCGGAAGAAGCATGACTTTATCAGTTGCCTATTCTACCCCGAATATTATTTATACGATACTGTGCATATATGTAGACGAAGCGGCTGCCTGGTTCTAATGGCTAATTGTATCTGGTCTGTATTCTTCAGGTGATGGGAAGACAGTGAAGGTGTTGTACAACAAGGAGACTAAAACAAGGCAGTATCAACTGCCCAATACAGATTATGTAATCCGCAGGGGAGGTCAGCCTAGCCAAATGACACGCGATCTCTTGGAGAAAATCGCGGGCACGAAACGCAAGGTACTCATGGTACTTCGTAGGCTGATATATATATATATATATATGTATATATATATACTTATAATATATATATATATAACTCGAATATACTATATATATGGATATAAATGTGTGCATACTTGGGGGTGTATTCGGAGACTGCATGGCATGTGTTGAAAGTCACGTTTATGTAGTGGAGTTAGGCTGGGATTGTAGGGGTTGTTCTTCTTAGCATTGTACGGCTGGGGTCTGAGGCTTGATACTCTCTACGTCGGTAAACACGAATGGTTGGCTGTCGATGATGCACTGAGATCCCGGTCTACGTATTTAGTTAGTACAGTGCCGTGCACAGAATAGGCCGTGCTTGAATGTGTACACGTCTATGGATGGCGTCGATGGCTATTGTGTTGCCAAGTACTTCTGTATGCACTTGTTTTTCAGTACCCACAGTCTCACACTGATCCAACTCCACCTGTCACACGCCAACAGGACATTATGACTTTCATGATGGAGATCAAAGACATGAGTGACAAGGAGATAGAACAGATGGTAGATGAGCACTACGGAGAATCCTTCGAGGCAATGCTAGCTCGCAAAATCAAATGGGACTCAGAACAAGGGCATGCAGCTCACGACCCGCCCTGAAGAGGTCCCTTAGCATGCCACTCAAATATACCAACAATGTAGTTGATACCAACATTGGCATGAGAACGCGCCAAATAAAATAATGCAATACTAGGCCACTCTGAATAAGCTCGCGCAGGTGTAAGGCAAGCTGAATGCGAGCACACACATGCAGGTTCATGGTACAGATACACTTACGCTTGTATATGAGCCACCATATGTGTGGTGAGACAAAGGTGCACCACGCCGTAGCCTCGCGGACACCATGTATCGATGCTTTGAACTGCGTTTAATTCGAAGGTTCGATCCCACATGATGCAAAGTTCGGAATTCGTTTTTTTTTATGCGATGCCGCGCCCCATACAAAGCGAGTGGGACATCTGCCACTCCCTATGGCTACATCAGCCGGAAAAAAACCCACGTTTTTAAACAGATCAAAATTGTCCTGTGTGCAGTTCGACGGTTATCGAAACATGTCATTATCTGTCTCACAACAGCCCCTCGTCCTCTTATGGATGCTGCACGGGTCTCGTCCACCCCGACCTTCAATCAGATTTATTCTCAACACCCTACATACAGGTGAAAGTGGTAATCCTGTTGGGGTGGCCTGTCAGGTGTTGGGATACACTGCAAAGCCGCCCCTTCAGCTGTGCGGCCTACTTGTTATTCGCGCCGTTGTACCAGCGAACCTGTTGGCACAAACTGTCTTCGGGGGCCGGGAAGGAGGAGGGGGAGGAGGACTGTGACGTGGACATCGTTTCTTCATAGTGCTTAGCAATGAGTACGAATAGTTGAGGAAATGCGTGAAGAAAATTCGCGAGGAGGGTGCGCGTGTAAAACGATCCCCATTTTATTCCTGGCCTGAATTCGAATGTACATCACGCCTCATACTCTTTTTGGGCAGGTCTGGTAGGTTGACTCGTATGTTGTGAAAAGATACGCTATATTTCGACCGCAAATGGAGTTCAAGACTGGTAGGGTGATAGGCGCCCCGCTTTCTCGGTTGCAAGTGGGAGTATAATTATTCCTCAGTCGAAACTATACGGGCGCCATGACCTTCAAAAGCCACTGCTTCTAAACCATACCGTGAGCCAAGGTGCAGCTTCCGCATTTGATACAGTCGGGCGTACACCGCCAAATGATTTGTGTTCAATAGCAATAAAGGAATTGGCAAGTGAAGACGCGATTGCACTATTGCAAACTCCGTTTAACGTATTAAGCAAGCAGGCTACGTGTCTATTCCAGATCGCGCGGACATTTATCTAGACACCTATCACTAGTACAAGCACAATCTCATTGAACGCCATATTCAAATAGTATGGATAATGATGTAGAGCGCGCTATGATATGGGTCTTCAACATATCACAAACATATTGGTGATGTATAATTCGTAAGGGGTTCTAACCCAGCTATCGACCGCTTCCCGATGAGATTCGAGGTATTTTCCATTAAGTATCACTGATTAGGGTTTAGCTAAGCAGCTCGATAACAAGAGATTTAGAGATGAGACAACCAATTCCTTTTGCACAAAGTTTGGATTTTGTCCTGGCGAGGGCTCGAATGTTAAAGGTTCATGTTCTAAATGATAATATTCTGGGAAACAGCAGCCCGCTCGCAATGAAGATATCAGGCAGTGAACCACGCCGCATTGCCATGCTACCATTCTGTCGGTTAAAATATAGTTAGAATTCTGTAGTGCTACAGTCCGAAAATTAGGTAGTTTAGTTCTGATATCACGTGTCACGCTTTTGGATGTTTCATACCCTTTCCACTGCGATGATACCCGCTTGGTGGCGGTTTTTTGTTCTGCCATTGCCATTTATAAAGCCGACATTTGTGCTTTTAGGTCAAAAAAATATGTTGGCGTGGGGTACAAGGATAAAAATTGCCGACACTACGCCTAGCTGAAAATTTTGAATACTTCATAATAATTCGATAAATAATCCAGGCCACCCAAGAAGCTATGTGGTCGGTACAAACCGGTATCCATACAATTGCCTGGCAAGAAAACCATGCCTTAAAAATAGTATACCCTTGCACTCATGTGAAACAATTTGCAGATACAAAGATAATTGTAATCAACTATTGAAGCCCTAGCTGAGTGTCTCGCGCTTTCCTTAGATGAGCTTTGCCGTGAAGGCACTGCCATTTGTTTACCAAATAGGAAACTATCGCTAGGCTCAACGAGGCTGATAATAAAAGAAATATGTGTGTGCCACGACAACGAGTTCCCGATTGTTAATAAGACATTAACAAAAAGCAAAGCATGATTGGGATGAACCATTTAAGAGAATACTGCGAACTAAAAATACGAGGATGTATAGCGAATAGAGATTACGTGTATGTGGAAATATCAATGCACGACTGCCGCATGAAAAGGGCGAAGATGCCAGGGTAATTCATTGCGCCATAGTATACAGAAACATAGTCACAGAATACGAATGAGAATATATACAATCCTTATTCATATTTTTTTATCACAAGTGTTTTAAGCTTTGATTTCTTCATCGCGCCCATTTTGACTATAATGGTGCACGCCGGTCAGTGCTGTTGCAACCCACGATAGAGGTACAGCTACGATGTTTACGATATATGCCGCTCCAATAGATGATGTGCCAGCCGGATAAGACCAGGAGTAATAGAAGCCCATAGTCAAAATTGTAGCGAGTATGCAGGCGCCCTGAAGAAACACCAAAAGTCCGGTAAAGGGCCCCGCAAGATTTATGCAGCAGCACGCGAATATGATGTTGAACACCATCACAATGAGTGCGAGCAATCCTACAATGATCGATGCCACTAGTAGACCAAACATGGCTTGTTCTGTACTGTTGCTCAGCGTATCGAGAGAAAAGTCATTACAATAAGACTGACCGTCTAGATTTGCTGTAGAGTTGCACGCGGTGGCGATACCTACGTTGACGGCACCTGTCCACCACTCAGTACTAAAGATTCCGAAGAATGCAGCGAAGGTGCTGTATGAGGTGAGAACGGCTGCAATTACGATAGCGATGAATCGGCACATGTTGTTCGATTTAAATTTGATTGTTGTTTTTGATATATTTATTCGATTTGCTTGCGTTTAAGTATCTATTTACAAGACTACAGTTCAATAGCCTTCACTCGATTTAAAGACCACGAAACCAGAAACGTATTTAAATACCGTCACATTTTCTGTGATTCAATGACTCATCGAGTGTGTTGGTGTAATTATGACGTTAGTATAGAGTATAGACTATAGCCTCTACTCCTCTCCAGAGCCTAAAGGTAGTAAAGGACTAAAAGTCTTAAGGCTATGTACCGAACCTGTATATATTATACCCCATCTTTACTCTGGAGCTTGGAGTACGCTATATTTATATAGAAAACAATCAATCTTCAATATAGAATATTTAGTGTGCGGGAAGTAATATGTATGTAAATAAATATGCCACCAGCCAGGCAGCCACGGGCCCACGGCACCCTATGGCAATTTGTTATTGTTTTTAAAAATCATTGAAATATGACATATGTCACATTGTCAACTGACTACTTTTAGAAGGCTAAATATGTATGAGTTTTTAGGGTCTGCTGCAAAAAAATCGGTTCTAAAAATCGGTTTTCGTACATATGTGCCAAGTTCTCACACGAAGTGGTGTATCTGACAATTGACATTCTGACCCGATTTCGAATTTTTAATTAGAACTGCAGATGACCTGAAATGTATTTTATATGTATAAATAATTAAATATAATAGGAAAAGCTGATATTTCTAGGAGTCTCAGACTCTCAGACGAGTCTCAGTAAAATATAGTATGTAATTTAAAAAAAATTATACATGACTTGATGACTCATATATGTCATTCGGCGATGAAAATTGAAATAATAAAATATATGGATGGGGTACATATTAAAATAATAACCCATAAAAAGAGCCAACAGGCTACATAGACTTCGTCTTTCTGCTCTTGATACATGAGCAAGACTGATTAATATTTTTATCGAAATAATGAGTACTCCAGAGTAAGATGGGGTAGAAAATTATAATAAATGCAGATGTGTACATATTCGATGAGTCATGGAATCCCGAATCGCAGAGCATTTATAAGTATTATATTTACGTTTCCGGTTTCGTGCTCTAGGTCGAATAAAGGCTGATATCTGTATAAACCTCTTGTAGGCGTATTTAAACGCAAGCAAATCGAATAAATATATCAAAAACAACAATCAAATTTAAATCGAACAACATGTGCCGATTCATCGCTATCGTAATTGCAGCCGTTCTCACCTCATACAGCACCTTCGCTGCATTCTTCGGAATCTTTAGTACTGAGTGGTGGACAGGTACCGTCAACGTAGGTATCGCCACCGCGTGCAACTCTACAGCAAATCTAGACGGTCAGTCTTATTGTAATGACTTTTCTCTCGATACGCTGAGCAACAGTACAGAACAAGCCATGTTTGGTCTACTGGTGGCATCGATCATTGTAGGATTGCTCGCACTCATTGTGATGGTGTTCAACATCATATTCGCGTGCTGCTGCATAAATCTTGCGGGGCCCTTTACCGGACTTTTGATGTTTCTTCAGGGCGCCTGCATACTTGCTACAATTTTAACCATGGGCTTCTATTATTCCTGGTCTTATCCAGTCGGTACATCATCTATTGGATCGGCATATATCGTGAACATCGTAGCTGTACCCCTATCGGGGGTGGCAACAGCACTGACTGGCGTGCATCATTACAGCCGAAACGAACGCGATGCCGATCTGAAGGCATAAGATATATTTTAAAACTATAAGATCGAATGTAGTTAAATTTCTACTGTTTAAGATTGATACTGTTTTTCATGTTAGTGTTCTGAATAACCTGATATGATGCACTTTGAAGGTCCGGAGGCAGCCATTTGCATAGTGCTGGGAATGATCCCATATCGAATACTACAATCGTAAGTGCTCATCTAGAGTAGTATATACACATGTTTGTGATGGCGTGTGTCATCTCCGACAACTTCATAGCGATAAAGGTGTCGAAGGAAATGAACAATGTGAATATAAGTATTAGCATTTTTAACTACAATTTCACATTTCCAAAAATAAATTACATTCTGAATACTTAGCATTGTTGCAATCTTCTTTGTCCCATCATAGCAGTACACATCATATCCTCGACACTTCGCCAATAATTTATTGGTAATTTGAATTGTATGCGATAGCAGGAGCTCATCCGAATCAATTTGTTCAGTTTTACAATTGAGCATTTCCAGCTTCCGCAAGGGGTTAACCAGGCACAGCTAAAAGTAAACATATAGTACTCACCAAATAATGGATAGCTTGATTTCCAAATGCACAGAGGTGCTAACATAAAATCATATCCGCTGATAAAGCTCATATCATTCGTATGGACTCCTTGAACATTGGGACACCAGGTGTCGGAGGACATTCTAAATTGCTCACTATCATGGTTGTCATAATAATTTTCAGGGACAAGAGTATCTTTCCTACATCTGTTTAATTTTATATATGATATCAAGACGTTGACAATACAGACCTACATAACCATACATTCATATGGGCTATATCGCAGTGGATTCAAATCTGAAATACAATTTGTACCTAAAGTCAATGCAAGGTCTAATCTACAAGTCCAGCTCAATCCCAACATAATACATAGCGTTCTACATAAGAGAAACATGGGGGCGCGATTTTGTCCACTAAATATTTATAGTTGTAGATTTTAACAACATAGCCTCCAAATAATATAAATTCAACAGTTTTACGATCAGCAACGATTTCTGATCGTAGTCCTCAATCCTCATGTTCCGTGTATTTTTTTATTATACTTTTAAAACAAAAAACAAAATGTTGTTTAAAAAAAAAAATCAAAAATATAACAAGTTATTTAAAAAATTTAAAAGAACAACAACCCTTTTTTATTTTGTTTTTATAAAAATGACAATACAATCCTGATTTTGTTGTACCTATTTTGTTATATAAAAAGACCAACCATGTACATACATAACTATGCTCTAATAATTTATGAAAAGAAAAGTGAGAAACAAGGAAGGGAGGGCTTTTAACCTTTCTGTGGTATTTTGTTTTTGTTTTTTTTAAGAAGCAAAAACAATATATATATAAAAATAGAAAACGGCAAACCGCCAAGTGCAATTTAACCCCTTTTATGGTAGTATCTAAGCCAAACTTCTTTTTTTGGCAATAAAATATTCCTCAGAATAGATGCATATTTAGAGCCTCTGCGATACAAAGCTGTCCGCTATGTGTACGTGTACTTATGACATGCTTAAGCTTCATTGCTTATCGCATGTACATATATCTAAGTGACATTTACATAAAATATAGCCAGTGGACGCGTATATAGGGGGCACAATTCGGGGTTTACAGTGGTCCATAGTTGGATTAGAAAGTGGAACACTTGTATCGATAAAGCAACACTTGTTATCTCGAGATGAAAGTTCATCTCGCGGTCGTCGCCGCTATAACCAGCTGCTCAGCTGTAGTTCCCGCTAAATGGCCCACGATACGATTATTTCATACACTATATGTATCCACTCATGTGCAGAATTTATCCCTTATGGCGTAGGTTGTATGGCTTGCTCTTGAATGCACAGTGCTCTCGGTAAAATACCCGTAGTGAAATATATGGGATGTTCCCAAATATGCTGATTTTAGTATAGTTAATTAGCAGGTGCATAATTCACGGCATTCGAACATAATCTAATATCTCTGAAGTAAATGTCGAGAATTGAATAGTCTGAGAGCCTAATCGTCTCTGTCGAGGCTCAAATAGTCGCCCAACTTAGCGAAGCAAATATACAATGTCTGTTTGTATGTAGCTCCTTATGCGTACAAAGGATAAAATAAGCAGATGGATTGTTCTAGCTCCTATCCAGTTCCAAACGTGCGTTAGCAAGTATATTGTACCTTTCTTAGAACTAAAGTAGTGTTGAAAAATCATCGCTTCTCATCGAATCTAGTCTTTGAGTCTATACAGACTTATGCACCCACCATTGCTTTCACACAGTAGTATGGTTTGTTCAAAGAGATCTTAGAATTTCCACGATAATACAGTTTAGTTTATTGTCTTCAGTTCATTATGCAAGCGACATTATAATTATACAAGCATTCAGAGGTCATGCTATTTAGGCAAGGTACAAGCGTAGTATCGTCTACATCGAGCGCCAATTTGATAGTACGCGTATGCGAACATAAAGAAGTAGGATCACAAAGTTATACTAGATATATTGGTCCTCTATCTAAGCTGCCTAACAAATTGCCAAAGTGCAATCAATGTGTATAAGCTCTGGTATTCAGACATTTTTTGGATTAGATATCTTGTGATTCTTACTGATCTGCCTAAACACATGAAAACAAATCAACTTATCTACACTCATTCGCGTGCAGGTGACCGGCATTCAAGTTGACGAAATTTCAACGATTGAGCACCACACGGATGCGTATCGTGTAGATCTGGGCTTTGTAGTCCGCAGGTGTGTGTAGTTAGCCGGTCTATCTCGGGGGTATATTAGTTAATGGGCGATTTCCATCTGACCATTGACAAGAGTTACCAATTTGTCTTAACTGATTGAATTAGGCACAGGTGTATCGTATGGTCAACTTTTAATGCATGAGGGTACAAGTGATAAAGTTTTGACTCTGTACTGGAGTTAGCAAAGGGACGTTGCTACTATGGATAGTGACTTAAGAGCTTAATCAGTTTATAGAGTCACAAGTACGTGAGATTATTTAGATGCCTTCATGTGTGGGCTGTGGGTAGCTAACTTTACTATACTCAATTGAGTATTCATAAGATACATACTGCTGTGATCGAAAGTAATGCCTGTATGATAATTTTGTTTTTGTGAGTGATTGTATCTCAGTTCTAACCACTATGTCCGCCCTATGTGGATTGAATACACTAGAGGTCAACCGTTCACTCTGCATATGGAAGTGGATGAGGCGCCACTGTATCCTACTGCACTGAAGTTGGAGATATGTGACGAGACTACTGGTGGCAAGTGTAATGACTTCCAGACAAATATAACTGGCAAGGTATAGGATTCTGAGTGCGAACTGTACATGTTGGTAAATACATCACCCAAAACGTACATCACGGTACAACTCAACCGTCACTCTTCATGATACTCGTTATGTTATATGTATATACCGATGAGTATGCGAGCTGAATGATTCTCTGCCTTGCCTCGCCTCGCCTTGGAATATCTGATATGGCAAATTCTCCTAAAGGCTTATTGTATTGCTATGTGCACACAACTTGTATGCAGAGGCAGCCCTCTAGCTACCACTGGTTCCACAATATATATACCCTGATATAGAGTTGGGGCAAGCATGTGTAGGTTAGGGCTGTGTACGGCAGCTCTGCAACCTCAGCAGTGACCAACCCGTGAAGCTACCGTTGCTATCCGGTGCAGTACCTCTTACTACTTACCAACTGATTCATTCGAGTCTAGTTCCCATAGTCTCATCTCTGGGGTTAGCGATGTACTACCCGATACCTATTAACCCATGTCTACGCATCAGGTGGAAGGACAGGATCAGACGTACTCAGTAGAAGTCAGCGCCGACAAAGCCGCACCAATCCGGAAGTATGACGGTATGTTCTATAGGCTGACTGGGCCATTTCTTGGGTTTAACACAGCTCGTTCATGTGCTCGGGGTTAGTGGACTATCCACACTGTCCTCGGAATCTCTTGAGGTCGGAGCCTCAGTTCCTTTTCAGGCTTATACTTTGTGTGAGGAAGGCGACAGAACAGTTGATACAAAACGGCGTACATGATGCAAATCGTTGCTAGTGTGTTCTTTCCGTCGTTTATACTTTCATCACCATCGTCGTCTATATATACATGACGCAGCGTTCCGTTTCTAATGCAATCGACTTCCGTTCGACCTGTCGTACTTATACTTCTCGGTGAATAGAGCTGAAAATGTTCCTTACCGATGGCGACCGTCGCATGGAGGGCTCCTCGTACGTCTACCCATTCCCGGTATATATTCTCTACAACCCTTACCTGGAAGACGATCACACCTACATGGCCAACAACAGCGAATTTGTCCTCAATGAATGGGGCGGTGTATCGACGGGTATGTATGGTGCATGAGCGTACCATCTACCATGTTTATACTACGTTAGATAGGATGGATGTGTGAGTAGTTTTCTACCGGGGTTGTCCCTATTCAATGGAAGGATGTATGAGTGTGGTATTTAACAAGGTTATTCTCAATGAATGGGGCACATAGATTGCTAAATCAGTTTACTACACTAAATTATAAGGGAGTCTGCACGATCACGAAACCATGGATTGGTACTATGGACATCTGAACCAACGAGCACTGGATGCTGCCTTCTACGCGTTAAGAGCTATGGATGTGGCAAAGGGTGCCGATCCTGCAAATGTGGGAATGTGGCGAAGGGATGTATACTCACTGAATGCGTGTATGCTAGGGTTAGAGATGGGTGTATCTACAGACGCACGCTTGGAAAAGCATAGTCCATGCTATAGAGGTGGATTACATACACCCTTGGTTCACATACACTTTATCATATACTCTCTCTGGAGCTGGTTGCTCAGGTGCTTGTGTTGGACCTCCAGACTCTGAGATATGAATACGTTGAGCTTTTATTTTACCGAATAGTACGCTCTCCGTCTGCTGTCCCAGTGGGCGTATCTTATTTCAATTTGCTCCAAATAACTCAGGCTCATAGACTGTCGGTTGTAGTTCTAGTTGCATGCGAATACATACTCCATGTCAATGTATTATCTGTTTCAGCGTGCTCTGAGTTCTTTCTTACTCGACTGCCGGTACATTTATACGCCACTTGTACACACCCTTCAATATTGGCCCTATTGCAGTTCATATTTTGTCTGTTTCAGCTTGCCCTGTGTACTTTCTCAGCTAGACCTTCTCACACTTATACGACACTTATAGGACACTTATACGGTACTTTTACGACACTTATACGGTACTTTTACGACATTTATACGACACTTATACGACACTTATACGGTACTTTTACGACATTTATACGACACTTATACGGTACCTATACAACATTGGTCACACAGCCTTCCATATGCCGGGGATGGTGAACCAGACATCCGTAGGGCCTCTGAGAGTATGTCATCTTAACACTATGCCCGCTAATAATGGAAAGTATGTTGTGGGTTATGCCCGGTGTCACTATCAGTCACATACACGTGAGCGTGCATGGTGCTGTGCTACGCCTATCAGAAGGCCGTGTTGCAACAGGGGTTGTTTCTTATGTTTCGTCTAGTGTGTGTGCTATTGATCAAGAAGTGCGTTTTCTATGTGCCTATGAATAAAAAAAGTGACT